ACGACTTGACATACCCTTGATGGCGTGAGAGCCCAGCTGGACAGCACTCAGGCTCGAGAGGGAGCTGTTGTCGCGTGAGTCGGCGGTGCCCCTCTTCTCTAGTACCAGGGAACATACCCCAAGAACATGCCCGTAGGCGTACGGGCGGCCGAGACGATGTAAACTGGGGGAAGGGACGACATGATGGGTATCTTGGGTATGCAGGAAAGCGGAGTGAAGGTGCAGAGAGCAGATATAAGGTGCCTCTGAGCAAATGGCCCGATCAACAAATATACCCCGATGGATCTTTTTGGAGTTTAGCCTTGCGCGACAACGGATGGCGCCTGCTGGCCCTGCAGGAGTCGCCTTGGAGTCCCATTGGCCAGCCGCGACCTCCGCCCTCACCGCCTAGCGCTAGGCCGCGGAACCACGTCTGAACTTTTGCGACAGCTTCAAGCTCGACGCGCATCACCACCGCGCATATACCCACACTCACCGCCGCCATGGATGACCTATACGACGAGTGAGTGCGCCCATTCTCTCCAAATATATTACGCGACTGACTTTTGACAGGTTCGGAAATTTTATTGGCGAGGCCGAGTCCGACGACGATGTCCAGAGCACCGGCCAGGCAGCCGACGCCTATGTCCTCGACGATGAGGAGGAAGCCGAGACGAACGACCAGCAGCTTATGGAGGTGGACGAGGGGCCATCCAATGCCGTGATCCTCCACGAAGACAAACAGTACTACCCTTCTGCGTCCGACATATACGGCCCCGATGTCGAAGTATTGGTGCACGAGGAAGACACGCAGTCGCTGGCGCAGCCTATTATTGCGCCGGTAGTGCAGAAGAAGTTCACGATTCAAGAGACAGATCTGCCCCCGGTGCATCACTCGAGAGAGCTCTTGACGGATTTGATGAACTTCCCCGACCAGATACGGAATATCGCCATAGCTGGACACTTGCACCACGGAAAGACTGCCTTTATGGATATGTTGGTCATGGAGACACACGACATCCAAGATCGTCTGGACTACAAGAGGGGCAAGAAGCGGGAGGAGCAGCTGCGATACACCGACGTACACGTGCTCGAGCGCGAACGAGGCCTCTCCATCAAGGCTGCGCCCATGAGCCTCGTCCTCCAGAACACGAAGCTGAAGTCGCATCTCTTCAACATCCTCGATACCCCCGGACACGTAAACTTCGCCGATGAAGTCGCCGCTTCGTTGCGCCTGGTCGACGGAGTGGTCTTGGTGGTGGATGTGGTTGAAGGCGTGCAAGTGAATACGGAGCAAATCATAAAGCACGCGGTGCTGGAGGATCTGCCCCTAACACTTGTGGTCAATAAGATGGACCGCTTGATTCTAGAGCTGAAGCTGCCGCCCAGCGACGCATACTTCAAGATTAAGCACGTAATCGAGGAGGTCAACACTATCATCGAGAACACCATCCCCGGCCGCGGCGAGAGCAGACGAGTAAGCCCTGAGAAAGGCAATGTCGCTTTCGCTTGCTCCAGCATGCGATGGTGCTTCACCATTCAGTCCTTCGCGAAGATGTACTCCGACTTTTACCCCGGTCCATCGAAACTCCCAGGTTTCGGCGTTCCGATGAAGGGTCTGGATATCGATAAATTCGCCATGCGTCTTTGGGGCGACATCTTCTACAACCCTGGAAGCCGCAAGTTCAGTCGCAAGCGGCAGGAGGAGGGCTCACAACGGTCTTTCGTACACTGGATTTTGGAGCCTGTCTACAAGATCTACTCGCACACACTGAGCGAGAGCCCGGATGACCTCAAGGACACGCTCGACACTTTGGGCATCCGACTGAAGCCATCGGAATACAAGACCGACGCAAAGGAGCTGATGCGCCTTGTATGCCAGCAGTACTTTGGTCCATCTCTGGGTTTTGTCGATATGATCACCAAACACGTTCCTTCGCCCGAAGAAGGTGCGCAACGGCTGCTGCAAAGACACTACACTGGACCTCTGGATACAAAGACCGCAGAAGCCATGCAGAAGTGCGACCAGAACGGACCCCTTGTCATACACGTTACAAAGCTGTTCAATGCGACAGATGCGAAGTCGTTTACAGCACTGGGTCGAGTAATGAGCGGTACTGCAACCTCGCCGCAGTCGGTGCGCGTTCTTGGCGAAGGCTACACGATCGAGGATGAGGAAGACATGGTCGTTGCGACAGTAACAGACACATGGATAGCGCAGTCACGATACAATATCCCCGTCAGCGGTGTTCCGGCAGGTAACTGGGTGCTGCTCGGTGGTGTCGACAACTCGATAGTCAAGACAGCGACTATTGTAGCTACCAAACTGCCCGAAGACGAAGACGCCTACATTTTCCGACCTATCTGCCACTTCTTTGAATCCGTATTCAAGGTCGCCGTCGAACCGATAAACCCCTCCGAACTACCGAAGATGCTTGACGGTCTGCGCAAGATCAACAAGTCATACCCGCTCATCACGACCAAGGTCGAGGAGTCAGGAGAGCATGTTGTTCTCGGCACGGGCGAACTATACATGGACTGTGTCCTGCACGATCTGCGACGGCTATACGCCGACATGGAGATCAAGGTGTCGGATCCCGTAACAAGATTCTGCGAGACGGTCGTTGAGATGTCCGCCATCAAGTGCTACGCGCTTACACCGAACAAGAAGAACAAGCTCACGATGATTGCTGAGCCGCTCGATCCAGGTATCGCCGAAGACATCGAGGCTGGCAAGGTCAACATCAAGGATCCCGTAAGAGTAGTTGGAAAGTTCTTTGAGGAGAACTACGGATACGACTTGCTCGCGTCGCGCAACATCTGGGCTTTCGGACCTGATGATATGGGCCCCAACATCCTACAAAACGACACACTTCCCTCGGAAGTCGACGGCAAGACTCTGCGAACGGTACGCGATACGCTTCGACAAGGTTTCAGCTGGGCTACCCGAGAAGGCCCGCTCTGCGAAGAGCCCATTCGCAACACAAAGTTCCGTATCACCGATGTCGAACTTGCGCCAGAAGCCATCTTCCGCGGAGGCGGTCAGATCATTCCTACCAGTCGACGAGCGTGCTACTCGAGTTTCCTAATGGCCAGCCCAAGGCTGATGGAGCCGGTGTACTCGTGCAGCATGGTCGGCCCTGCAGACACCAAGAGCAGCTTGTACACAGTCCTCGCACGAAGGAGAGGACACGTTCTACAGGACGGACCCATTGCGGGCACGCCGCTGTACAACGTGCGTGGTCTTATCCCGGTCATCGATTCTTTCGGTTTCGAGACCGATCTCAGGGTACGTACACCTCCTACAATCATCCCCATTACCTAGCGCATATACTAACTTGCCGTAGATCCACACACAAGGCCAAGTCTCCCTCTCCCTCGTTTTCGACCGCTGGTCCATCGTCCCCGGCGACCCTCTCGACAAAGACATCACAACCCGACCGCTTGAACCCGCAACCGCACAACAACTCGCACGCGATTTCGTGCTCAAGACAAGGAGAAGGAAGGGTCTTGCAGAGGACGTCACAATTAGCAAGTTCCTGGAAGCAGAGCTATTCCGTTCACTCAAGGAGAGCGGCGTGCTTGACGGTTAGGATGATTGTATAGCATACTTTGGAGTCAAATGGGAACGGCGCAAATTGGAAGCTACAAAAGCATATAGGGAACTCATGTTGGAGATGCGCCCATGAAGGTGGTTGGAGAATCGACATGAAATATACCCGTCGCATGTCAGTACATCATTACCTTCCTCCTCTCCTCTGACATGCAAACGTCAGTGCAGCACGTGATCTCCTGGAGAGCCAATACGGCTATATAAATGGCTTTGCTCACCCACTCTCTTTCTTCCTACAACACTTTCCCTTCCATCAGAATACCATGGGCGCCTACCTATGTGTGTCTGTCTTCTGTTTCACCAAAACCCACCGTCACAAAGGTAATGTGGACTTCCTGTCCAGTATTTTTCCCACCAAAATCGTCAACTATTACGCTCATGTGGGCTTCCGACCCGATCTTTTCCATAAATCATCATCATCGCTGCAACGATACATGTCTCTGCCCGGGTCATGTTTCCCATCAAAATCGTCACCTATCTTGCTCATGTGGGCTTCCAGACCGGTCTTGAAGCATGAAGGAAACATGATCTGGTGCTTTGCATCTAGTGTTTCTCGCCAAAATAAAAATACTCACAACGCATGTCTGGGTTCAGCTCTACACTCCATCAAAAGTGCAAGCAACGCTCGTTATGTTTGGGCTCCTACCGGTCTCTTGAAATCAGAACACGGCTGAGAGACAGCTTCTCCAACACCTAAACATTACATGAGTTGTGCGATGCTGGCCTACCAAAATCGACCACGACATTTTTCGTGTCCTCTGCCGGTCCACCAAAAAAAGACCAAGAAGCTCAATATGTTCTCTCCGGTCTACCAAATCTACAGCAGTGGTTGCCATGTTCTTTTCCGTCTTTGAGAGCTTTACGATTGTCAAAAACCAATGACCAGGTAACGCATACAAACGACTCAAAAGTGGAAATCTCAGACTTCACGGTGCAGCCAGGAGGACTTTACAACATCATCGTATTTCAGTTTCTTTTCGAAAACCAGACTGAATGCCTCCCCGCCCTATGATCTTGCGTCAAACAAAATGGTGTAGTTCAATGTCTGCTTCTTCTCTGGTTCCAAAACGCGGAATTTTCCATTTTTCGGAGGTACTCGATGTTGCGCTCCCGTCTCAACAAGTCTCGAACAGACTGAGGTCTTCATCCCCACCATTCTCCGCGAACGTGGACCTCGTTAGCTTCTCGAGCCACACGTTGCAGAGCAGCCGTGCAAAACTCCAACTGAAGATCAAACATGCCATTTGCTTGGACGCATGCGCAAACTCAGTCTATGCGACAACGTAAGTTTCGATACTGGCGCATACTCGCACTTCATTGAAGGGGAAAACCAAACACCCTGGGGCCTACGTTGATGTTGGGCTACCTACTTTGCATGTTTTTAGCTCAATGTAAGCTGCAGACCTCTTCAGCCTTTTCCTTGGGGCACTTTGATGCCTGCGCCACCAATGGGAACACGGTCGCTCATTGTCCGCCCTGTGGCGACCTTGATCAGTGCCCAGTCGAGCGCGAAGTTCAGGGCGCGACCAGCAATCTTGTCGGCCAAGGTCGGGGGGTGTGAACCGTCCTTCCTCTTGAAGGCGTTGTCCGGTACGTTAACCACGGTGGAGAGTCTTTGTGCTTCAGCAGGGGAGTAGTCGTCGTTCTTACGCGCACGATAGCCCGACGATGCGATCACCGTGCCTAGAAGACGATTCGGGTCGGTGTCTAGGAGTTGGCAGTCTCTGTTGGTCGCCGCAGCCCTGCTTTGCGCCCGAGCGTATCCAGGGAGGTACGGACTCGTGAAACTTGCGAGATATCGGTCATGGTCGTATTTATCCATTGCTTTCCATTTGAGGAACCTCGTGTGATCTGGGTTGGATGGGGCTTTGATCTTGACTAGACCTAATTGCGAGATCTCATGGTTGACACTTAGGTACTCCCCGACAGACATACCGCGGTTGATGACACTCGTTGGATCGTGTGTTGCGACGACGTGGTGGTTGGTCAAGTCGCAATTCGTCTCATTTCCCGCCGCATCCTTGAGTACTAGGACAGCGCCGACTGTTCCGCTGTTGTCCGGCTGCTCTACGCCGATACTCGCTCCCATCTTTACGATGGCGTCGTAGTCCTGCATTGTAGAATATATGGCAGGGCGTACATACGGTTCCTTTGCTTCTTCCTCGTCTCCAGATGTCTGCATGGCCAGGTGTGGTGCGTAAAGGAGGTCGACCTCCATTGTCTGGGGGAGTTGTTGACGTATATGAGGTAGGATTTTGTCCCACCATATGGCCGAGTCGGCATCTTTTGCGGTGATGAGGAGAGTAGGGGCGCGTATGGTATGCAATTCTCCGATTTCACGGAGGACGATGTCGGCGGTGAGCCACTGTTGTTCCTGGATATCTTCAAGGAGAGCTGACCGATAGCACTCCCATGCTGCGAAAAGCTCTGGCGCGCAATCTGTGAGCGGCACTGAGGGTGCTCCGTCTGCTGTTCTGGTGTCTGTAATTTCAACCGTCATGTCCTCGCGATTGGCCTTGTCGAAGAGTAATCTGAGATCACTCACCGCGACCTTCCAGGCCGAGTATTGTCCATCCACAGAAATGTCCGAGGTGACTAGTAGCGTAAGAGGCGTCAGGGATGGGGTCTGGCCGGGTCGGACGCGCTTTACGAGGCCGTAGCCAAGAACCCGGACCTGGGCGTCGTGAAGAATGCGGGCTACGCTTTGTCGAGATACACCGTCGCTCCACTCTGGTATTCATTGGGCTCCTATATTATCGAAGGAAGGTACGATTAACGCGCCGACACGGTAGGTCCATCTAATGTCCATCTTTGATGTCTCGCGTACGAAAAGTGGAGGTGGAGTTCGGCAGTCGATTTGGCTTTGAGCTTGTGAATTCTTGGTTTTAGGTAGCGTAAAACAATGGAAGATCCAGCGATCTCGTTCTTGGTGAGTACTTAGGGCGAAAGGAAAAATTTATCGAGGAAGGCCTTTTGTACTTGGACATTGTGTGCTGTAGTGGGGCAGACGCTTGTAGAACCGTGGCACAGCTGCAGGACGGACGCTGGGAATTGGTGGAGGCTATGCTGACGTACGGGGCGAATCAGGCCAGAAATGACTGTTGACTTGTGCTGCGTGGTTCATGCGGCAAGAGCGTGCCATGGATCGGATGAGGGAAAGTGGAACGTTGGAGTGGTGCGTCATATCTCGAAGCGGTAGCGATGAATCTGACCAAGTTGATGCGCGACTTCCGTTAAGGGTCTTGGTAACAGGATGGGGTATGTGCGGGGCCCGGACAATGCGCAAGCGCCTACATGGACGACAGAACTGGCAAAGATCGGGATGAGATCTGGGTTTCGAAACAAGTCTGGCGGGACCTGACTGATCGGAACATCCGTGATGATGTTGCGCTCATGTCGATCCCTCCCACCGTACACGACCGCGTAGCGTTGGAAGAGGAAGAGCAGATTGCGGAAGAAGAGGCTATCACTGCTAAATCGAACATCACAAGGGCTTGAATTGCGGCTGACTCGTGTCCCCGTAACATGCTGGGGACTGTACCCTATTGGTGCGCTGGATTACAGTCAGTTTGACATCGCTGGTCCTTCAAGATGGCGTGGGGCTTTGCTTCATCGTACATCGCTCAGGTTCCTCCCAGAAGTAGCTCGCGTCATGGACGCTTCAATTTCCAGAGTATCCGCGGAGGCTAAAAGGTAGCAGCTCATGCAGAATTCGAACTTTTCTAACCGCTTTGAGGAATACAAGGTTTCTCACAAGGGACTTATCGGTCACAAAACATTGCTCAGGAAACTACATGAGATTTTTGGGCGAGAGCCTAAGACACTGCCTGCCCTTGAAGTCGTACACGAGCTATCATAAGTAACTGGATGTAGCCCGCGTGAATCATTGTAGACGCCTGGACGAGCTGCGCACAAAGGCTTCTTGGTCCGATGGAACATTTCATCCATCCATTTCCACTCCTCGGTCATCCCCTAGTCTCATCTGCTTTTTCATCCTTGAGGTCGAGAACTTGCAAATCCCTCTCGCCTCTAACCATCTGATTTTCAGCGCTCACATGTTGGCTGTAAATCATCCCAATGTCGCCCTTGGCTCCTCCCCCTGACTGAGGTCTTCTCGGGTCTTGGTATGTCCAACCATCTAGGCTGAAGCTGGAGCTCCTTGTCGTATGGCTACGAGTTGCATCCCCGCATGGACAACTTCGAGCGTGCGTAGTAAGACTCTCCAATGTCCGTTGACAAGGAGGCATTCGAACTTGACGTTTCCAGTTTCCTCTTGTTTAACGAACCTTGTCCAATTTCCATTCTCAGTACGTTTGATCTTGCACAGTGCTTCGGTGTCGCTGTGTAGTACTAGCATGTCGTCATCTGTCTCGGTGGTGAGCGGCACAAGCTGGCCGATCACCTCTCCGATCAGGATACCTTCAGGCAATGTCGTGGCCGCCTCCACGTAACGTCCCCGGTCATAGTCTCGCTTGATTCGATGGCCGATCACCTCTCCGATCAGGATGCCTTCAGGCAATGTCGCGGCCGCCTCCACGTAACGTCCCCGGTCATAGTCTCGCTTGATTCGATATGCATTTGGAGGAAAGCGTAGGCATTGGCACGGAGCTTGAACGCTGCATATCTGGCACTTAGCTTCTGGCTCGGTAGTCGTGGGGTCGGTATTCCAGTCGCCATCGTCAGAGCAGTGGTGGTCAGGGCCAGAGTTGGCGTTGAAGTGCTGCCGGATGTGGCCTAGCCAACCCAATCCTGGATCTCTGTCGTCATGATCGTCCAGGTCATTCCCGAGGCCCCTGTTCCATCCGAATTGCTGGTAAGCTTCCTCGCTGCAATGCTCAAACTCAAACTCAAATTCTTCCGACTTGTTGTAGAGATCGTATACACGAACACCTACACGTAGGAGTGCTGATGCTATGACAGAAGATTGGTTCATCACGGCGGAAAACTCAGATACATCCTTGTATGTAATCTTCTTGCACATGTCAGACGACACGTAGTATGGCGCCTCAATTGTGAGTGGAATGAGAGCCAAGATACCGACATTGGGTGAACCACCTGGACAATTTTCGCAGATGCTGAGCCATTTCGCTCGCCGCGAGCAGACATTGTTGAAGGCCTTGAGCGCTTTCTTGGTGGGTTCAATACCTAAGCGTTGGAGTACTTTGTGGATGAACATCTTGTCCTTGTTCTTGTGTAGGCGCACGCTGTGCGCGAACTGGTACTCGGCTACCCGCAGGCGGAACAGATCATGATCGCGCTCGTTCTCAATGTCCATAACCTGTCGATGAAAACAGGCCACTTTAGCAACTGCGTCGTTCTGTTGCAGAGACATCGATGCAGGTTTCTGCGAGCGCCACGTTCGGACTAGTGCTTTGACTTGATGGAGAGTGCCCTTGCTTAGTACAGAGGCGGCGACGCGTACGCCTTTCGTATATGCGCCGGCATCGAGATTTACGTTTTCGCATAGACTGAGTTTGCGCATGCGCGCCAGTAACTGCGACGTTTGATCTTCTGTTGGAGCTTTGCGTGAACGTACATTGCGTTGCTGCGGTTCCTCACTGGGGTTCCTCTTCACGCCCTGTTGTCCTCGGAAACTGCTGAACTGAAGAGGGTTCTCACCACAGACGCCTTCGACACAGAACTCGTAGGAAAGTGGCGGCATATCTGCGCTCGACAAAGCAAAGTTGACGGCCTCAGCCACGTTGTCTCCCAGGTTGATTACTTGATGCAACGCCCTGGGTGTTGTGAATACTGCCTCACCACGTCGGCACAATCGAATGTGGTACAGGATCCCCCATTCCCGCAGTGAGGACGGTGGTATGAATACGTTGAGGTGTCGGATAGTCTGAGAGCAGCTCCAATGTGTCAGATCCGTCGCGTATACTTGTCGGAGCCGAGTTGTGAGCGTGTCTATGAAAGCAGGCTCGATACTCAGCCATACCTTGGGCTGGCCAGCGAGAAGGACATTGACAGACGACCACTCGCAATCCTCTATGTGCATAGCTGTGGCTGTGCGTTGCCCACCTGCCATGCTCACATAGGCGTAGCTCTCGTTGACGCCAGCCACGGTCTCTGTTAACGCCTCTTTCAGTCTTTTCCCGGCGTCTAGCAGAGGGTTGAAAGACGCACCAAGCATGCTGGTAGGGCCTATCAAATACAGTCGCGCCTGATTGGTGCTGCCTGGCTCAACCGGATATTCGAACATATCTTCCAGCTCTTCGGACGAATATTCTTGGTCTTGGTCATCTTCCATGTTCTGAAGCTGGTCTCGTAACTCCTCCGGATGTGGCAGTTCATCGTCGCTGATAGCCCTAACGATCACCATCTCATGCTTGTCTTTTCTGAACTCTATCGAACTCCAGTGAACGGATTCCTGATCTTCAAAGGCATCTGGCGCCGGATGAAACTTTCGTAGATCTTGCACTTTCACCACGCCCATACCGATCTTACGAACAGCCGGATTGCGAGAAAGTATTTCGAGGGTCGCTGTAGTGTTACTGCGAAAGTCGAAGACATTACGCACAAAGACTCCATCTCCTTGTGCTGATTCGTCTGTGTGTCCACTTCCTGCCTCCGTCACAGGATCAGACAAACCACTGGCTCTATCATGATGACCACGCTTAAGTCGTTTTGGTGCCCGTACCGTCGGTTTGGCCGCAGCATCTGCGAAAGCGGACGATGTGAGGAGAGGAGGTGCGAGGTTTGCATTTCTGCTAAGTTGCTCCGGGTTCACAAACGTTGAACTCTGCACCGATGGATTACCCAAAGTACTTCCGGGTCTTGGTGAGATCGATGACGCAGAGCCGGAGTCTGGGATCAGGTCTGGGTTCGTCGGCAATGAGCCATGCGATATCGAACTACCCGAGGGACGTGTGAGACTGTCTGGTGTGGGTACGGCACCTGCGTTCTGGGCCGCAGCCATTCTCTCGAGTACCTGCATCATTCTCTTTAGACCGTCCATAGTCTCCGTTACCCATGTCATTTTTTCTGTCGCTGTCGGTGTTTCCGCAGTGGCTTCTCTCGGCCTGTCACCCAGCGGTCGAGTCGGCTTCGTGTGTGCGATCAAATAGCTGAACTCGTTGCATACACCCACTACCTTCTCTCTGAACGCTCCCAATTCTTGCCATGTAGGCAGTGCATCTTCGGTTGCTTCCATCGTTGAAGAAGAGTTGTGTCGCGGTGAATTGACTGGTGTTCACCCATGGGTGAACTGATCTTGGTTTTTGGTGCGGTTTTTGATGTTTTGGTTTGTTGTGTTGATGGAGGAGTGTAGAGTCGAAAGCCAAAATCTCGCTCTCACCTTCACCTCATATAAGTGGATACCTAGTTATTTCCCACGTGCTGAGCCCTCTCACTAGTAGCGCGGGCGGTGAGCTATCGCAAAGCTTGATGTAAATCCTGCTCAAAAAGTGCTCTCCCGAGAGATTGTTGCGTATACATACTATTAAATTTTGACCAGTACACGATTCCTAAGCTAATGTATCATCCTGCCTTGGAATGTTCTTCAAACAACGCAACACAAGTTGTGTCACCTCTAGTAGCATTCAAGGTGACTTTTGGTAAAACATTGAGGTATTCATTTGAGGAAGAGGAAAAGACTTTTGAAGATATTCCATGTGCGCCGGTTTGCTATCTCCTTGAACTAGTCCGCTGACAGTGTCTAGCCGCTGCTAAACCATCCATACTAAGGTCATTGTCGCAAAGATTCTTTTGTGTGTATCGAAGTTGCCTCTCCAACTCCACGAGGCTAATCGCTGAGTGTTTCGGAGACGTACTCTGTGTTCGCAGATTAAACATCAGATATCTGCACCGAGACTCTCAGAACAGACCATGGACGGGTGCAACTGCCCTTTTTAGAAAGTATGCGGAGGGAGATGTAGAGTAGAAGAGAAGAGGAGTGGGGGTAGAGATTGGAGCTATATATACGGCAGAGGCTTGCCCTCAGCACATAACTCGAACGTATAAGTTTCGGGATACCATGTGATCTGCTGCATGTCTTTGAACTTTCCAAAAGCGATGTATCTGGCATGAAACATTATGCTCGGATTTTGGAGAAGCGAAGCCGTCACGTCGACGTTAAATTTCAGTTTTGATGAAGGTGAATCTTTTGTGGTTATTTTTGATACGAACGGGACGCAGCAAACACCCTCGATACATGAGCTCAAAGATCTAGAGGCGGCCATGTTGTATGCGTTGGGGCTTTTGAAGTCCAGCTCACCAACATAGGTTGGTAAAATTTTCTTTTTGGTAGTTCGCAGCAGGCAGACAGCGAAAGACATCATACTGTTCGTTGTCACGTTCGAAGCAAGTCATGTCTCTGTACTCCGAAGATTTTCGTTTTGGTGTAGAAAGCAGGGTAATGGAAGAATGAAGGCGGGTGTGCCAGACGTAATATTTATACCCATCTGCACTAGCACAGAGCGACGCCATGGTGATGTGGATGGCGATCGTTTCATTCTCAGCGGTGCACAGCGGCAGCCGACGCAATCGCCCGATCA